CTCTCTCTCTCTCTCTCTCTCTCTCTCCTTTACCTTGTGGCTCACTTTTCCAAACCTCCAAGGACACTTTAAACTGCTCAAAGACCAGACATTGTCTTTTGCTGAGGTCAACAAAAATAACTTCCCTCCTTTGATCCACAGCTTGGGGATCCCTGTTACAAGAAGCATCAGTAAATGGGGATTATGTAAGGGGTGAGAGGAGTTCATGTAAAATAGAGATTTGTGGAAAAGTTGATTTATGTTTAGTTTAGTTTTAGTAGAGGCTTTAAGGCGCTTGCAAACTGCAAAAGGTCATATGAGCGCCAGAAGATTAGAGGTGTTACAAGAGAGTAACAAACATAAAAAAAGAAGAAGAGGAGATAAGGACGATAGATGTTTTGATAGGAAAGAAGAAGCAAACACACCAGAGCACCCGCCAACCATCCACGTTGATGTATGTGAACCAAGAGACGTAAAACAGAGATGTATATGAATACGGATATTGATGTGTGAAGCATCAGGAACAAATCAGGTGCTTGTCAAAATAGTGAAACTGAAGAAATCAACAAATTTTCCGTCGATTTGGCTATTTGTATCACATTTTTGTTTTGTTTTGAGCACAACGCGTTATATGTCCACTTTTAAAAACATTTCTATTATCATTACTACCTATAAACTGACATCTTTCTTCATGCTCCAGAAAACCATACAATACGTGTCACAACGCGGTGGAATCAGGCGCTCGTCAATTTTTGGGCATATGGGGTTATTGGTATCATCTTAAAGCCTGATCATTTGCCTTCCTTTTGGTGAAAAAAAATCCATCTAAACTGAATAGAAGTCAAAATATTTGCTTTTGAAGAAGGTTAGAGTTGCCTGGTTTCAGAAATAAAATTAGTGAGAATATGGTCATGAAAGTTTGGTAACATTCATAGCTTGAGAGTCCTTAGAAAATGAAAATGTGTATTTTTTTGTGCCTTTAATCAACGTTTTTCTGCAACATCCACGCACAAAGGTGTTTTAAAATACATGAAAAAGGTGTAGAGCCAAAAAAACAAAAATTTGAAGAAAAAATTCCAAACTGGCCTAAAAATGCTGATTTCTCGAATTTCATCATTTCGACGAGCGCCTGATTTCACCACCCTGCCTCACATAGTTTCCTTAGGAAGTCGACAACCCCTCTTCCCCACTCTAAAACGTCTTTCACAAATACCACCCTTTAGCTTTATGAGTGGCCTCATCACCTGGGACGCGTGCTGACAAAATGAGTTATTTCTCCCAATCTACAAATCGAGCTACAAATCGAGATATTGTTTAAAAAATCAACACCAGGATCAAATTTGTAGATTTTCTTTTTATGTCATATTCTTTATGTATAAAATGTCTTTTATTATTCCATACTTATAAACTGTAAAATCTTCACCTGTTAGCGTGATGAATCTATTCCCATAGGGCTCGAATCCAAGAAGTAACTCATTTTGTCAGCTCACCTCACACATATTTTTTGAAGTAATGACTTGTAATCTGGAACTCCTTGCCACAGGATCGCAAAGAAATAACAAATCTTAATACCTTTAAGCGATTGCTCCAGACTCATTTGTTTCATTCTTGGTTAGTGAGTGCTGATACGTTTTGTTCTTACTGCTGTCCTTACGTGTATATATAATTAATGTACGGTTGGGAAAGTTCTTTAGGTGGTTGAACTGGTTTTCCTTGTTATTGGGAAATATTTTATCTTGTGTGAATCGGTCAATGATCATGTGACTGGTGTAAAGCATTCAGAGCTCATACTCGTATGGGATAGAGCGCTATAGAAATGCAATCCATTATTATTATTATTAAAATAATTATTATTATTATTATTATGATCATTATTATTATTGATATTATTTCCTCCCTGGCTCCTTCATACTGCTGTCTTTCAGCCACACCCCTGATCTTCTGGTAGGTAAGATCTACACCAAGCCTTCTCGGACAAGGGCGAAAAATCTGGAGGTCCCATGTGCAAATTGCGCACGTTAAAGATCCCTTGGTGGTCTAAAATCGATAAGAGCAGGCTTCGGCCAGGACCCGCACAAAATTCAAAATTTCCTACCAATTGAAAATGTTTACTATGTCCCACGTGCTCCTATGACCTTATGCAGTTGCGAGCGCAGCAAAACACTTACCAAAAAAACAAAAAACAAAAAAACTCCTGTGTCTTTATGTTTATGTCAGTTCTTTGTCTTAAGTCGAAAAACATGTTGTGAAAGTAGTCGAGTCAAGTTGTTTTTGTTTTTTTTTTAAATCCATTCCGTCAAACTCAGGAAATCAATTTCCGTGATCAATGAGTAAAGAAAAGTCTTGCTAAAAGAATGAGCCGTAATTTGTGCAATTCTCCAGACCTCTAAATATGCCGTGTCACATCAATGTTGGGCTTGGTGGTGCACAGACAATTTGTTTCTAAAATTACTCTTCTTTCTTTGGCCTTTGTTTTTTAAATAAAATTTCTCATTTCCAACAGCAAGATGATCAGTCCCATTAAATTGTTTTAGTTTTAGTAGAGGTTTTACAGCGCTCGCAACTGCATACGGCCATATGAGCGTCGAGGGGTGGATGTCAACAGAGAAGTCCTTACAGGAAATCAGACTTACTCTGCTCACCTCTCTAGCTTCAACAGCACAAAGTCTGTTTCGACTATCAAGGCACCCCGGAAATAGCAGGTCACAATAGGGGGACAAACATACAAAAGAAGTAGGGGTAAAATGATGATGGTAAGGATTAGGAAAGAAAAAGCAGCAGTTCCCTGTTGTAGTTCAGGCACAGTTATGAGCATGACATCGTTAGATCAGCCCATTTACAATTCTACTGTGCAATAGAACGAGAAATGTCCCCCCTTTGGGAACGGCCTAAAGACACTTCAGTCAGTGAGTCAGTGGCACCGCCCCCGGGGGGTCCCGTTTAATCGTGATACCAAAGACTCTGGGTTACAGAAAATTAGATTGATAGAAAAATGAACAGATCGACAGCTCTAACGTTGTGACTGAGACGTCGATAGAAAGATATATAGAAAAATGAACAGATCGACAGCTCTAACGTTGTGACTGAGACATAGATAGAAAGATAAAAAGATAAATGAACAAATCCACAGCTCTGGCATTGTGACTGAGAGGTAGATAGAAAGATAGAAAGATAAATGAACAGATCAACAGCTCTGGCAATGTGACGGAGACGCCCATGCTATGACTCACCATCCCATCCTGAGGAGAACATGCTTGTCGTCCACGACCTCTATCGTTAAAAAGATATCATCGTCCTTGACCTTGTGAAGCTGTCCACGCACCTCGGGGAAGTCCTGGGAGCCGGTGAATTGGACGCCCCCTCCCCTCGCCACGATGCTGTCGTAGGACGACAGACAGACCCGGAAGTAGCCCATGCTGGGCTCGGAGGGTATGCAGGACACTCGGAGATGGACGCTGGTGCCTTGTCTCAGCCAGTTGTGGCGGAGGCTGAGGCAGCTCAGAGTGGTGGGGCTGTCGTGCTTCAGGGAGGCCATGGGCCCGTGGACGTTCACGTGACGGCTGACCAGACACACAAACACCACAGTTTTAGTACATTCATTTATATACCTTTTGCGTCACAAGTTTTATAACATTCATTTACATATGTGAGGCAGCGAGGTGGAATCAGGCTCTCGTCAATTTTTGGGCATGTAGAGGTATTGGTATCATCTTATAGCTTGTTCACTTAGTCTTTATTTGGATGAAAAAAATATCCATTTATCTTGAATACAAGTCGAGATATTTGCCAAAGAAGTAGGTGGGGGTCACCTGTTTTCAGAGGTAAAATTAGTGAGAAAATGGCCGCAAAGATTAGTTATTTCCTTAGCTTAAGAGTCCGTGGTAATTGAAAATTTACATTTTTTGTGCCTTTAATCAAAGTTTTTCAGAAAAATCCAAACAGAAATGAATTTTTTAAAGGTCATAAAAGGTGTTGAACCAAAAAACACAAATTTGATAAAAATTCACAAACCTACGGAAAAATGCAAGTTTCTTTATTTTGACTATTTTGACGAGAGCCTGATTCCACCACGCTGCCTCATATATCTTTTGATGAAGAAATGGAAATGTATTGGGCACACCCTGAGGAGACCCCCGACAAGCATCATCAGGCAGGCTTTGACGTGGAACCCACAAGGAAAGCGTAAGAAGGGAAAACCAAAGATGACATGGAGGCGAGCGGTACAAGCGGAAATTGAAAAAGCGGGGGACATCATGGAAACAGCCTCAAAAGGATGCACTGGACAGGCTTCGCTGGAGTAATGTTGTTGATGGCCTGTGCTCCACTGGGAGTTTTAAAAGGGGAAACAGAGATATATATCTTTTGTGTCACGACATAGTGGACTCAGGCGCTCGTCAATTTTTGAGCATGTGGAGTTATAGGTATCATTTGAAAACTGATTTATTTGCCGTACTTCCAATGAAATGATATCCATCTATCTTGAATAGAACTCAAGATATTTGCAATTGAAGGGAGTGAGGTCGCCTGGTTTCAGTGGTGAAATTAGCGAGAAAACGGCCGCCAAAATTTGGTAACTCTAATACCTAGAGAGTCCTTGAAAACAGAAAAATGACATATTTTGTGCCTTTAATCAATGGGTTTTTTTTTAATTCACATTTAAATGTGTTTTAATATGGGCATAAAAGAGGTTAAGCCAAAAAATAAATATTCGATAAAAATTTCCCAACTGGTGGGAAAATAGCCTGTTTCTCCGAATTCTATATTTTGACGAGCGCCTGATATCACCAGGCTGCCTCACATTTATATTTTTATTTTTGTTGGCTTTTTTCCAGGGGTGGGGGTTGGGGGGGGGGGGTATTTGAGGAGGTGGTGGGGAGTGGGTAGA